AATGCTTTACAATGTGATAAGCACACCGATGAATGAGAGATTATTCTGCCCTCAGGTGGCTTGCAAGTTGTTCATTTAACAAGACAGAATCATGCATGAAGTGTGAAGGGGCAACTTAGTGCTAAGAAGATGAAGATGCTGGCCTGATATTAAGATGCTCACTGCAGAAGGATTAGTAGAAGTTAGAACACAAGTGCACCAGATACAGAAGTTGTTCAAAGGAGAGAGTGATCAATTCTAGCCAAAAGAGTGTTCTGCAAAAAAGTTCCTAGAGAGTAATGTTGGAGCTGGGTTTTGAAGGATGAATCAAGTAATCAAGAGGAGAGAGAACAACTAAAAAATATACCTAAAACAATTAAATCAATTTTGGATTGAAGAAGACACAAATTAATGGAAAGATATCCCATGTTCATGGATTAGAAGAATAAATAGTGTTAAAATGTCTATACTACCCAAAGCTACCCAAGACGTCAAAACCACAGGTAACAAAAGCAAAAATAGACAAATAGAATTACATCAAACTAAAAAGCTTCTTCCCAGCAGAAGAAATAATCAACAGAGTGAAGAGACACCTAAAGAATAAGAGAACACATTCACAAACTGTATATTTGATAAGGGGTTAGTTATCTGAAATACATAGGGGTTAACATCCAAAATACAAACAATTCAATAGCAAAAAAACAACCCAATGAAAAAATGGGCAAAAGACCTGAATAGGCATTTCTCAAAAGAAGATATACAAATGGCAACGGGTATATAAAAAACGCTCAACATCACTAGTCACCAGGGAAATACAAATCAAAACCACAATGAGATTATCACCTCACTCCAACTAAAATGGCTATTATCAAAAAGATAAAAAATAACAAGTGCTGGCAAGGATGTGGAGAAAAGGGAATCCTTACACACTGTTGGTGGAAATGTAAATTAGTACAGTCATTACGGAAAATAATATGCAGGTTTCTCAAAAAATTAAAAATAGAACTATCTTATGACCCAGCAATCTCACTACTGGGTATTTATTCAAAGGAAATGAAATCAGTATGTCAAAGAGATATCTGTACTCCCATGTTTATTGCGGCATTATTTACAATAGCGAAGATATGGAAGCAATCTAAATGTCCATCAATGGATGAACAGATAAAGCAAATGTGTTATATATACACAATGGAATACTATTCATGCATAAAAAAAAATGAAATCCTGTCGTTTGCAACAGCATAGATGAACCTGGAGGACATTACGTTAAGTGAAATAAGCCAGGCATAGAAAGACAAATACCACGTGATCTCACACATATGTGGAATCTAAAAAAATTGATTTCATAGAAGTAGAGAGTAGAATAGTAGTTACCAGAGGTTGGGGAGGAGAGGGAGAAGTAGGAGATATTGGTTAAAAGATACATAATTACAGTTTGATAGGAATCTATTACACAGCAAGGTGACAATAGTTAACGACAAGTGATCACATTCTTAAAAAGTGCAAAGAGAGCAGACGTTAAGTTCTCTCATTACAAAAATGATAACTCTGTGAGGTAATGCAATTGTTCATTACCTAGATGTAACCATTCCACAATGTATATATACTTCAAAACGACATGTTGTATACAATAAATACATACGTTATCTCTCAAATTAAAAAAATAAAATAAAAAAGAAACCAATTGCTGACTCAGACCTCTTGACCTTCCCATTTTATTATATTTCTCAAACTTCCTAAATCTAGTTCCTGCCTCCAGTCATGCTAAAGCACCAAGAAAGTGCAACCCTTGGATCACTGTTAAACGTGCATCATCTGCATTTATTTGTTCATTCCAAACACGGACAGAGTAAATCTCCGTCAGGTGCCTGGCCCAGTGCTGAGCTCTGGGGACACACTGATGACAAGATGAGCACAGTCCCTGCCCTCACCCAGCTCCCTGTCTCCAAAGCAGGCAGAGAATTAAACAAAGACAGGCAGTTGACTTGCCTGACCATAGACCAGACTCCATCAGCCTGGGAAAGCCCCTCCCCCATCCCATCCTCCCCTGAAACATTTTCAGTAAATTGTGCAGGATTAAAGAAATGGCTGCCTCCACAGTAATTAAAAGAGTCCTGACCAGCGTCCCAGATAGCCGAGCAGCTGCTCAGAGCTGAGAGACCCCAAAATCAGGTGCTTCCTACATAATAGCCTCCAATCTGATACTTGATAGCCGCTGGTTTCCAGAGTCAAACAAACGTCAGGAATTTTATGAAGGAAGGCAGGAAGCAAGTAAGGGGGCAAGGACTGGGGTCTAGGCCTCGGAGGAGCTCAATTAGTGAGCCAGATAAAGTTAAACCGAAAGGGCGTGCTCTTGGTTTCCTAGAAAGCCAGCTGGAAAAGATGCCAATCCTTAAGCCTCTGTCACTCAAAAGATTAACAGAAGAGACCTAGGAGTTCCCAAGGGATACTGCAACAAGCCAGATGTTTCTGCTCCTCCTGTGATGCCGCCACTCTCAACCACAGCCACCCTTCCGGGCTACCAAGAAGCTGTAGAAGAGAACTGGAGTCTTTGGGGATAGGCTGAAATTCAAATGTCACCCTTTAGCGATACGAACACCAAAAAATATTAAGAATACTTTCTCTACAGACTGGCCTGATGTATCCGGAGTCTTTGGTGATAGGCTGAAATTCAAATGTCACCCTTTAGCGATACGAACACCAAAAAATATTAAGAATACTTTCTCTACAGACTGGCCCGATGTATCCGGGCTCTCTGTTTTCTCATGGAGCCATCTCTTCCTTTAACAGGGACGGCATCACTAGCTGGATGGACACTCCCCGCAGCTGTGTGGTTATGTGGAAAGCACACACCCTTTAAATCCATATAAACAGGGATTTCATTCCCTGAGCTACATACGCACCATGAGGGATTCAAGTAAGTCACTTAGCCTTCCTCGTCTACAGAACGGTATTTAAAAGACCCACCTTCTTGTTCTTGTTCGATAAGAGATCAGGTAATGTGCCCAGCCCAAATGTTCATAAGTGGTAGCTCCTATTGCTGCATATAACTGCAACCAGGTAACCACATGCTAAGACAACACCTTTCCCTTGGTACTTTTTAAGCATGTGTGTGTGTGTGTGTGTGTGTTTGAGAAAGAGAGAGAGAAAGAGAAAAAAAAAGAGAGAGGGAGAGAGAAATTGAAGCAGCTGGGACACACACCAGCCTATTTACAGTTTTTGCGTATGTTCCATCACTTCTATCAAATTAATAAACTAGAGAAACTGGAGGGATCCTAACCAAGGTCCCCTGTTTTCCCCTAAAGTGCCTAGCTTTCCCCTAAAAGTTGCTTCCTCTGATTTCAGGAGGCAGGGAAGGAGAGCCATATGGCTTGAGATGCTAGACATGCCCAGCAGCAAATGAGCCCCCCACCATTTGTCTCAGGGCCTCTCTCCTTTCGACCCTCATGTGGGCGGGCATCCAGATTTCAGTCGGGGTGCTCTGGTCTGCGTCTCTGTCTTGACTGTTCCTAATTATTGGAGGGAACGCATGGTTCGCCTGACCTCAGAGTTTAAGAGCTCCGAGTCCTAATATCAAACCAAGCAGCTTCATTTAAAAGGCATCCTCATCTGCATCCATAAAAGTAACTCCCGGAGCCCTTACTTGCCCCAGCTTTGGGAATGCCTGCTGTCGAGGATTTATGGCACGCCCTGGATCTAATCTGCCACACTTTAACTGCTGCTGTTGCACATCTGGTCATAAAAGCAAGGGCCGGCCCAACACGGGGACAAACACTTTTCTTTCCTAAGTGGCTGCAAATCTGATCTCACAGTGATAGCAGGGCTCAGATGTAATCAGCCCAGCATCTGGGCAGGCATTAAGGCTCCTCAAGTATTGCAAAGTTTTTCCTCCACACATGGCAGCTGTAGTGATGATTCTCCTGTAGCAAAAGCTATGAACAAGGAACCTGCAGTCTGAACAGGTGGTAATGGGGCTGGGCTGAAGGATATCCAGGAAAGGAAGCACAAGTTGGTTGCGGAGCTAACCTTGTTTTCACAAAGATCCCAGCTCTTTTCACGTGGTCTCTCGCGCTGCCAGTTGAGGCAAGCAGCTATCCTGAAAGGCAACCGCTCTGACATAAACTGATGCTTGGCCAGAGATTGCCTTGATTAAGTTTGGTCAAACGAACCACTAGGTGGTTTAATAGTACATTTTTTTAAGGCAGTGAAATTCTTTATTGGACCAACTGGGGTGGGGGGAGCAATAATTTAGACCAGAAATGAACACACTGCTGTCGGTTCCAGGAGATTTTACAATGCCCTGGACAGCCTGTCCTGTACACAGAATTGGCACGTTTCATGTCGTTCAGAAACTCCAATCAGACCAAGGTTCAACAAGTAATTCAACCTTCCAGCATCGATCCCAGGGGAAGAGACCCCTGAACACCGTACAGCTCTTCCCCACCACTTCACCACGGCCCCCCACCCCTGCCCCTTCTCCAGGGCCTGCCCGGCAGGAGGGGGCATTAAAATTATCTGCTGTGGGTTTACGAGCAGTGATCGCTTTTTAAAACAACAACAACACAAGGTCCTTGTGTGGCTCCCGGGTAACCTAAAACTCTCCGAGCAGAGCTGCGCACCGCCGTCCCCCGCCCCCGCCTGCCAAGAACGCCAGTGCGCCGGAGCGGGCGCAGTGAGAGACCACAGGAAAGCTCCACTCCGGCGGAGAGCGAGCTTCTCCCGGACGCAGGAGGCACCTCCGAGGGTCTTGGAGCAAATGCCATGGGAGAAGAGATTGGGAAAGAAAATCCACCGGTGACAGTTCGGGAGGGTGGGGTAGGTGCAGTGAGAAAGGATGGGTGGCGCCGATGGGAGAAAAAAATATTTCAGGAACTTCGCCAAGAAGCCCGCAGGCGACCGGGTAGTAGGCAGAGGACAACAAGATCTGACACTTCCCTTCCCCCTCCTCCTGCCCCGGGGGATGAGGGCAAAGCCACCTCGCCTCCCTCCGCAGGTGGGCGCACAGCTGGGGGCGCACTTACCCTGGGGCCCGTGGTGCGGTGGCCGTGAGCCGGGGACAGCTGCACCAACACCAGCAGCAAGTGGGGCGTGAGCAGGCGGGCGCAGCGCGCGGGCAGCATGGTGCCAGCCGGGCCGGGCAGCCGGCAGCGGGCAGGGGTCGCGGGCTCCGCCGGGCGCACACTGCGCCTGCCTGCCGTCCTTCCTTCTTCGCTCGGCGGCCCTCGCGGCGGCGGCGAGCAGGCAGCGGTCCTGCGGCGCGGGCTCGCGGAGGCTGCGATCAGAGGACGCGGTCATGAACCGCGCAGGAGGGCGGCTGGGGCGCGAGCGTGTGCTCTGCGCGCGGCGCTCGCTCCGCTCGGCAGGGCCGCGGCCGCAGCAGGTTGGACACCAGAGCCCGGGCCATGGGAATTCCCGTTATAAACCCCCGGGAGGGGCGGGGCGGAGCCCGGCGGGACTGATTGACGGGCCGAGAGGCCTGTAGCAGCCGACCCTCTGGCAGGTGAAAGCCAATGGGAGAGGGGCAAGAGGGGCGGCTTGTGGTCAACCCCCCGCCGAGGAGCTCTTGGCAGGGTGCTTCAGGAGAGACCGGTAACTCTCTTGGCCCTCCTGTCCGCGGAAGGCTTAGAGAGCTCCAGCAGCCTTAAACCCTCCAGAATGCTCACCTGGCTGATAATAACGTCCTAAGCATGTACAGTTCTTAGCTCAAGTACCAAGTTGCCCCAACAGCTCCATAAAGTAGGCCCATTTTTCAGATGGGAATGCTATGGCACAAAAGCACTGAGAAATCCACCTCCCCGCTGCATCGACACCAAGAGCAACTGGGAAGTCGCCAGGTGACCCGCACAGAGTGGGCTGTGACCAGCATTGGCGGCGGGGAATAGGAGCATTCATTTCTTTTAAAGAAACTCCCTGGGGGCGACACCTTGAGTCCCACAGCACCTGTGCCAGGAAAGTCTCGAGGGGACATGGCGAAGCATGTGTTAGGCGGGGCCTGCTGGGGAGGGCACCCCGTGTGTATGGGAATGGCTACTGGTGGCCCTGTGGTCCTTGTGATCCGGGATTGGAGCCCAGACATCCTGGCTCCCCGCTCTGACCCAGAGGGCAAGGGACAGCCTCTCTGTGGCATAGCAGCCCTGGGAGAGGCAGTCAGAGGGGCCCTCGTACCCAGGTGGGGAAGAAGGAGGAAAAAGTATTGACGGGGAGAAGGCAGTCTGTGGGTGCGGAGATCTCAGAGATGGGTCAGAGGAGGGAGCGATCTCTTCTGCGTGCCCAACCCATTTGGAGAGGACAGCTCAGCAAAGGGTCCAGTCAGATGTTGGAGGGGTCTGGCCAGGGCTGTCCCCAGAGGGCCGTCTTGGGCATGGTCACAGCTGCATCGAGCAGCTCCTCGACAGAGCAAGGTGCTCCACTGCATTCAGCCCAAGAGACCCATGGTTATCTTCTTAGTGGCGCCCAGCCTTTAGTGCTTACTTCCATTGGTGTAGGCTACTCACTTTATGGGGAGGAATTCTTTTCTCCAACCAGATTGTAAGTGCCAGCGCTTAACTCTTCCTCCCTGTCTGGCCTGAGAGGTCCTGACAAAGATTAGCTCTGCTCCCTGGGGCTTCCCACCTGACTCCTGCATTCGGTTTTGCCCACTCCCCATGCTGGCTCCATTCAGCCTCCACCCTGCGGCCAGTCATCCTTCTAAATAACAAACCTAAATGCACCACTTCCTGCTTAAAACGCTTCACCTCTCCCCAGCGCCCTTAGACAAAAAACCCTGGACTGCATGCTGGAATGGTAACAAAGTACTTGTGCTTCTCCAAACGCAAATGGAAAACGTCTCTAAAAGAATTGTCTCTTTTCCCCTACTGGGAGTTATTGCTGTGGTCAGACTCTCTTCAGCTAGACAGCAGGGGTTCAAATCCTGGGTCTGCCACCTAGTGGCATAACCGTGAACAAGTCATTTGACTTGTCAGAAGTCCAGTTCCCCCGCTCTGTAAAATGGGGATAAAAATAGTATCCTCACTATGGGCTGTTGTCAGGATTAAAGAAGAAGGATTACGTAAAGCTCTTAAAATGGTTAAATTAGAAATATCACAATCCAGCATTTTAAGAGGGTAGGACAAATACCTCATCTCATTTTATCCTCCAAATGATCCTGTGAAACAGGTAGGTCAGACATCCCTATTTTAGAGGCAGGTAAATGGATGCTCCATGAGACTGTGGCTTGCCTGGCCTCATTTGGCTGATAAATGACGGAGCTGAGATGCAAGGCTGTGTTTCCGGCATCTAATTGTGCTCCTGTCACGTGAAGACTGCCATGTCCAGCCTCAAATGCCAATGGGTTGGACGTTCCCTGTGCACCAATGCGGGATTTCTTCAGTGGCCTAACAAGGCACCTGAGACTAGTGAGCTTCGCTGAGCTTCAGGGGAAGAGGGTGTAAACAGCAGGGGTCAGCCCTTTCTGGAAACAGCCCTTGTGATTTGGCATCCTGGGAATTCACCCAGCTGGACTTGTGACACTTGTCCAGTGCTCTGCCTCCTGCAGCACTTACATCAATTTCCATGTGCCCTCCGAAGTGTTCACCCACCAAGGGAGGTTTTTCCTGACTCTACCACCGGGCTACATGCATCCATCAAGCTGGTCAACTTCTTCGTGTTGCTGAAGTTATTGAGAAATCTGCTGGAATGAGTAAATATGCTTGAAATGGCCCCAGTATCTGGCAGCACAAAGCGCCCAGGGAAAAAGCACTGCAATAGTCCTTTCCATCCCAGCACCGAATGCTGCTTTCCTGCCAGAAGGCTTCTTTCCAAGTGGTCATTGGTCCAAAAGTCTACATTATTCTAGATTTCAATCATGTAGCTTAGTTTAAAATATGAGCGACTGCTTTCCAGTTACTTCGCTCAGCAAGTATTTGCTTTCCCTCTGGTTGGCATGTGAGGCCTGTCGTAACCATGGCCATCGTTCAAATGATGCATTTTCTTCTCCCAACTCCTCCGAAGCCCAGAGAAGATTAGAAATTCCAGAGAACTACTAGTCCCAAATAGCATCTCTCTGCCAGGGTCAATATTCTGATCCAAGCAAAAAAGTAAAATTGACAAGTTCCTTCTGTCCCTGGAGGCCAGGCTTATGGTCCAAAAATAAATCTAGCTGGGCTGGCATCTGGTTTGTCCAGTTTCAGCCATCCTCCTTGTCTTATGGGACTTCTATTTGCAAGGGGATATTTCAATAGAAGAAACATAATACTTTATATCATACATTGAGGTCTTAGGGCCTCAAATATTTAATACTAGCTAGGAGTGCCAATTTCAAATAAATCTGTTTCTGTATAATCCAGAGGAGTCTTGTCTTGTTTCATATTTAGAGTAGCACCTTTCTGTTCATTTTTACAAGCACATGGATGCATTTCTTTCTGTGCCCAATACAATGCTCACTATTATGAGACCTCTTTGGATGCACATTGAGCCCTCTGAGAGGTTCCAATCTAATTGAAGACACAGACTAGCCAGATACTGGAGACCATATCTAAGAGCAAAGCCTGCAACATGTTTTGGGAACTCAGAGAGTGAGGATCCGCGATAGACCTATGGGCAGGAAGGTCTCATGAAGGAGGTAGATCCTGAATGGGGCTCTGGAGCAAAGCACTCCTATAATATAAACATACCCTGACTTATACTTGCTTCATGTATTACAACAGCTACCAACAGAAAGAGGTGAGCTGTGTCTAAGGTCCAGGACTTTTGTCAAATACACTACTGAGCTCAGAAGCTTGGGACATCAGGAATCCTGGGTTCTGTTACTGGATTTAGGACTAACTTGCTGTAACCTTAGCATTGAGCTAAAGTAAGTATTATTAATCCCATTATGAAAATGAGGCTTACCCACAAACATTAACCTTACTAAGGTCACTTTTTAAACTTTAAATACACATGACAAAAATAATTAGAATGACAAACAATTTAGAATCTTATTTCTGTCTTTGGTATACAAACTCCATTCAAAGTCTCCAACAGGCTCCTTCTATTATTTCTCTGTCATAATAAGCAGCTTTATCTGATAGTCCGAGAGGGCTGCTTAAGCCCTAGCCATCACATCTGTTTTCCAGCCAGCAGGAAGGAAAAAATCTGGGAGGCCCGGCTTAGTGGCTCACACCTATAATCCTAGCACTCTGGGAGGCTGAGTCGGGAGGATTGCCTGAAGCCAGGAGGGCAAGACCTCATCTCTACTAAAAATAGAAAAAAATTAGCTAGGTGCGATGGCGTGGGCCTGTAGTCCCAGCTACCTAGGAGGCTGAGACAGGAGGATCGCCTGAGCCCGGGAGTTTGAGGTTTCAGTGAGTTATGATGGTGCCACTGCACTCCAGCTCAGACAACAGAGTGAGACATTGTCTCAAAAAACAAAAATGAAAATGAAAAATGAAAAAATTACTCCCAAAACTTAGCAGTTTAAAATGACAAACATTTATTATCTCACAGCTTCTGTGGGCCAGGAATCTAGGAGTAGCTTAGCTAGGTGGTTCTGGCTCAGGTTCCGTCATGAGGTTGCAGTCAGGACCAGCTTCATCAGCAGGCAGCCTGCATAATCACAAAAGGCCCCTTACTTGGCTTAATACTCTACTGTTACTGTCTTGAAATTTCTCTTTTTTGAAAAAGGGGCTCTCATTTTCATCTTTCACTGGATCCCATAAGTTGTGTAGCCAGGCCTGGTTGCAGCCAAGCTATCGTCCAGGGTTACGGTCGGTCACCTAGCGCAGGAGGATCTGCTTCCAAGCTCACTGACATGGTCATCAGCAGGCCTCAGTTCCTCACTGGCTGTTGACCAGATTCCTCTGTTCCTGCCCACGTGGGCCTCACTACAGCTTAGCTGGCTTCCTGCTCAGAACAAGTAATTAGAGAGAGAGCCCAGGCTGGATGCTGCAGTCTTTTATAACCTAACCTCAAGAGAGCTGTGCTATGATGTATTAGGCCTTTTTTGCTGCTGTAACAGAATACCTAAGACTGAGTAATTTATAATGAGCAGAAATTTATTGGATCACAGTTCTAGAGGTTTGGATGTCCAAGATATAGGGGCTGGTATCTGGTGAGAGCCTTCTTGCTGAGTCATCCCACAACAGAAGGCAGAAGAGCAGGAGAGCAAGACAGACAAACTCCCTCTTTTATAACGACACCAATTCCACCCATGAGGGTCGAGCTCTCCTGGCCCAATCACCTCTTAAAGGCCCCACCTCTTAATACTATTACAGTGACAATTAAATTTCAACATGAGTCTTGGAAAGGACAAACATTAAAACAATACCACATCTGCCATATTCTATTGGTCACATTGCCCAACCCTGGTACAGTGTCAGAGGGCACTACACGAGGGCATGAATACCAGGATGCTAGTATCATTGAGCCATCTTGGAGGCTGACTACCACAGACAGTGAAAAACA